TTGAGTTCATAGTAGGTTTTAGCTGTTTCTGGCTTGTTGGCCACTTTAATATAAATATACTGAGTCAAACTTGTTTTCATGGACGTTTATTCTCCTCACCACATCGTTCATGTGCTTTGGGGCATAATGAGTCCACTCATGGAGGTTGGAACCAAGTTGTTTATACAACGTGATTTGGAAATGCTTTGGGGTTTTCATAAATGAAAAGACCAGGAGACCACATCCCTGGGAGAACCTCTCTGAAGTTCACCAGGTTTATAGGCACAGAGGGCCTGATTGTTCCAATCCAATGTTCCCCTGGTGACTTCAGGCCACCACAAGTTCACAGAGTGGTTCACTCAACACCTTTGCTCACAGTTGCTGGTGGGGACTGGTGGTTGCAACGTGGAACTTATAAGTTTGGGTACTATGTATATGCATGTAGAGAGAAGTGGAGAATTAAGGCAATAAGATTAATAGATAACCTCTAAATAGTGCTTTTTAAAAATCTCAACCCTGTGAGGAACGCAGTAGAAGACATTATCCCATTTGGAAAATGAGGCAACTAAGTAAGATACAGAAAAGTTAAGTGAATTGCCTACAGTCACAGCTAATAAATATTAGTGAGAGGATTTGAACCTTGGCCTTCTCCACCCTTCCCCAGAAACCTCTTTATACTGGAAGATCACTCAGCTCCCAAGCTCATACCTTAGAAGTACTCTCTGCCCCTTGGGCCCCTCCCTCTCATCGAAAGGTGGAAAGCTCCTACCAGAGTCTCTATTTAAGAAAGTGCCCAGGCCATCCATCTCTTCATCTTGCACCATGCTGCACTCCTAGATTTTTCCATCGTTCCTCCATGCTAGGTACCTTGTCTCCCTGCCTTCCCTCACTCCTCAACTCTTTTCAGTTCTCTTTTAGGTGTTGTCTTCCTCATTAGAGTGTTAGGTCCTTGAGGACAGTGGAAGCAGCTGGGGAATCCTTTGAGTTGATGGTAGGTTTTAGTTGTTTCTGCTGGAAACTCGTTGGCCACTTTAAAATAAATATACAGAGTCAAGCTTGTTTTCATGAATGTTTATTTTCCTCTCCATGTTCATGTGCTATCTTTCTTTTTGCTTGTATTTACATCCCCGGCATTTAACACAGTATCTGACACACTGTTGTTATTGTTGTTCAGTTATGCCTGACTCTTTGTGACCCCATTTGGGTTTTTTTTTTGGTAGATACTGGGATATTTTGCCACTTCTGTCTCTAGCTCATTTTACAAATGAGGAAACTGAGGCAAACAGGGTTGAGTGATTTGCCTAGGTCACACAGCTAGTAAGTGTATGAAGTTAGATTTGAATTCAGGAAGATGAGTCTTCCTGACTATAGACGTGGTGCTCTATCCACTGTACCGCCTAGCTGCCCCACATCTGACACATAGTAAGTATTTAATAAACGCTTGTCTCCTTCCTTACTATAAGCTCTGGGCTATTGCTTTCTAAGAAATGTAGTCCTTTCTCATCTTGGCCACATTCCTGACGTATTTATTTAACTGCCTTTATTAGGGATGGTTGACACATAAAATGGGCTATAACTTCAATTCAATTCAACATATATTCATTAAGTTTCTACTAAGCGCAAGACATGCTAGGCACTGGGGATACAAATGTAGCCTCTTTTTATTCCCTTTGCAAGGAAATATACACTGGGGAGGAAACTTGCTGGCTAAGTTATAAATCTTCAAATTATTTTGATCCACTAATACAACTTTACTGTCCCCTTGCTTTGGAGAATTTTTTTCAAGAGGAAGGATAAGCACTGGGAAAGGGAGTGAGCTGAGGCCCAAGGTATGCAAGTTGGGAGACAGAAACAGAGACAGAGACAGACTAGAGGGTTGTAGAGATGTGGCCCAACTGGCATTTGAGAACATTGCCATGGCTGAATAAATGGCCTGAGGCTGATCATGAGAAAAATATTAGGGCAGACCCATTGTTGCTGAACTGTTCATTAAAGGGAACTGATTCCAGATGGTGAATTTTACCTGTTCTTCCTTCCCCTGTCCTTATCTGAGAAAATTTATGTTGAGTCCAAAGGTTACCTACTCTTTAAAGTTTATTTAGATTTCTGTCCAATAAGTATTAAAAATCCAGGCTAACAACATATAGTCAATCACAATTGCAAATCACAGCAATTTCTGATTTGTACATATTTAATTACTAGGAATGGTATGTGATAAATGGTTAATGACCAGCATGGCATATTAGGAGAGAGAGGGAGATAGAGACAATAGATTATCTGTTGGAAACTGATGGGATTTGTCCTGGTTGGGGTTCTAGAGCCAAGAGAAAGAGAATCTTACTGATTTATATTCCATAAATACCCAAAGTTAGGTAAAATCATGAATCTAGGTTTGTCCCTAGGCAAACAGGCAAGCTGGAAACAGTTTCTGCCTGGGACAGCAGGCTAAACTGGGTCATTTGATCTCCTGCTTTGCTCTATATCACATAGGCTTAAGGACAGTGAGGAAGAGGTAAGTCATGCTCAGTGGGAGGGGAAAGGGAGGAGTTATAAAAGACTGACTATAGCCACACTCCAAGGGTGGTAGCCACAGGGAGAGAGAGTAGGGAGTAGGAGTAAAAATCCTACATTTCCTCTCCTGCAGTCGCCTTGCAGAATCTCTTTTCACTTCAAAGAAGCATATCCTCACAGACATTGCTACATGAAAACAAAAACAAAACAACCCTTGCATTCCTGGAGATTACATTCTATAGGAAGGCTATATGAATACAGACAAGTTTAAATGAGTATGGGGAGGATGGGAGAGCAAAAGAGAGGTCAGAAAGATTTGAGGTAGGTGAAAATTCCAACAATTTTTTTTTTGGGGGGGTATTAGTCAAGGACCTTATGTAACAGGGGACATGAGCTAAACCTTAAAAGAAGATGAGAATTCTTGAAAGACAGAGATGAAGAGGGAGAGAATGCTTTCTAGGCATGATGGAGAGCCTGTGCAAATACACAGGGGGAGAATGTCCACTTTAGGGAAGAGCAAGTAAACCCTTTTGGCTGGAATATAGAGTGAGTATAGGGAAGTCATGTGAAACAATTTGGGAGAGAATTAGAGATAGATTATGAAGGGCTTTAAAAGCCTTCTTAGAGACAGTAGGAAGTCATTGCCAGTTTTTGTTCAGGGAAGTAACATAGTCAAATCTGTGCCTAAGGATGATTATTTTGGTATCTGTGCAAAGATTGAAGAAGAGAGAGACACCAAGACTAATTACCATATTCAATCAGTCAACAAGCATTTATACAGTGCCTATATGCCACGCACTGCTAGAGTTTGCCAGCAGCTGAGCTCAGTGAGAAGCAAAGCCCTGAGTGACCTGCTGGTGGATCAGTATTGAGATACTGGTTTCTGCAAACAAGAGAATCATCTATGCCTCATTCAGAGGTGAACTTGGTGGGGTAATATTCCATAGCAACCACTTTGAGTATTCTTTCCAGGGAACAAGGCATAAAGAAAAATGTACCACCAGTTCACAGGAGATGGGTTTATATTTCTGTTCCTGCTCCTATAGAAACAACAAAATTTGGTAATGGTTTGGATATATAGAGTGATTAAGAGTGAGGAGTCGATGATGACACCAAGGTTGTGGGTCTAGGGAGAATGAAAGTGTCTCGGAGAATGATTGTATCCTAAACAATAATAAAGAAGTTCAGAAGAGGGGGAGGATCTTGGGGGAAAATAAAAATTCTTTATTGGACCTATTGAGTTTAAGATGTCTATAGGATGTTTAGCTTTAGATGTCTAAGAGGCCATTGTAGACATGTAAATATAGCTCAGAAGAAAGAAGCTCTGGGAATCATCTGTATAATGGAGCCCATGGGAGCTGATAGAATCTCCAAGTGAGGTGATACTGCATAAAGTGAAAAGAGTGCCCAGAACAGAACCTTTGGGGACATACATAGTTAGTGGGCATGATATGGATGTACAACCAGTAAAGGAGACTAATAATGAGTGGTTAGAGAGGTAAGAAGAGAATAAGGAGAGGGTATTACTAGGAAAACCCAGAGGAGGGAGAGAATATCTAAGAAGCAAGTATGATGAAAATTATCAAATGTTGTAGAGAGGTCAAGGAGGATCAGGCACAGGTCTGAACCACAGGACTTGGCAGCTGATTGGGTGTATGTGTGTGTGGGGGGTGTTGTTGAAGAGGAGAAAGAGCCAAAGCTCTGTGTGAGATGGTGAATGAAGGGTCCCATGCTATGATCTTAAGCCTCAATGAGATTAATTGACTTCTTCCTCTTGGAACTAGTTCTGAAGACTTTTGCCCTTTACCCCCTAGGCTTTTTTATTTTCTTACTAAATTCCTCTGACTGTGTTCTCTGAAAATGTAACTGAGACATTTTCACCTCTGTATATCCCTGGGTCCTTGAGCTGGACTGGATCTCTAAATTTAGATAGGTACCACACCTGGACGTGACTTATATGTCCCCCTTTATCTTCTACTCCAACTGTATGGTGGCCATTTCAAGTATTCCTTGCCCTCTTTCCATTTTCCTCATCTCCACACAAATAAGATCACAAGAATGTATTTGCTATGGTTTATTTACAAGAGAAAAGACAATATACAAATTTGAAAATGATACAGCAGGGTAAGGGAATTAGAAGTGTGTGTAAAGAAATCTCCCCAGTCCTAGACTACATGGCACCAAACAATGCTGTCTAACTAAATCCTTAAGTTCCCCAGATCTAGAATGGGTAGCAGTAGAGCATGCTGACTGTTCACTCTTTAGAGTAGGAGACTCACAGCCTACTCCTTGGGCTCCATGAGAATGGTGGCATTCTCACTTCTACAACCACACACCCACCTCCCCTCGGCCCCCATCACCACTATATTGAATTTTGTATTTGCCCATCTGGGCTGCCTAGATTGAGTGAGCCCATTGGTCCATTCTCCAAATCACTTTTATTCAATCAAGTAGACTTCTGTTTGCATGGCAAGCTTTCAGTGCTCCACCCAAGTTTTCCTTACTGCAGGCCTGGTACTCTATCCTCTGTGCCACCTAGATGTAAACCTGAAACAGAAGTGAGGAAAGTACTTTCGCGATGGCAGCAAGAGAAGATGAAAGGGGTTGTCACTAAGGTTTCCTGGCCAAAGAACTTAAAGTATGAGGTTCTGTAGTGTAAACCAAATTCCTAGATGCTCGTGTGAACAGTAGATAGAGTGCTAGATTTGGAATCAGGAAGACCTGAGTTTGAATCCTGACTCAGACGCTAGCTGTGTGACTTTGGGTAAATCTGACCTCTCACTTGCAAATTCCTTATCTGTAAAATGTTGATAATTATAACACCACTTCCCAAGGGTTGTTGTGAGGATCAAATGAGAAAATACATATGAAGTGCTTTGCAAATCTTAAAGTAGTATATAAATGTTAACTGTTATTCAGAACTGTTTGTATATAAATGTTAAGGGCACAGTCTCAGGTTGCTTTTTCTCACCCATTTTCCAAAGCTGAGGCTATGTTGAGTCTATGAAGAGAAGGAAGAAAATTGTGTCTTCAAATTTTGATTTTTGAGAGTTTCTCGTCCCTCCTTGGCTGACTTGCTCTGCAGAATTTTAGACCATAGGATTCTACCTATCTTTACTCTTGCTAGGCCCAACTTTCCTTTCCTTCTCTATCACATATTCTGAAATGGAATGGTCCCTTCTTGAAGTTCACATTATAGAAAATGTGAACTAATGTTTCTTTGTTCTCCCAATGATCCTTCCCAAGGAATCCACGCAGTATACTGGAGTCCTCCCTCTAGGGCCCTCAACATCATCTTCTTTTTGGTAGTAATAAACTTTGTGGGTTTTTTCCTCGACATTTGGTACCTTTGACTCCTTCAGATACTTTGAGAATTGTCCCCAAACACCCTCAAAATCATGTCACCTCCAGTACTTACCTCTTCTGGGTATACTTGGTCTGGTCTAGCTTTTTATATCTTTATACTTCTTTTAAAAAAAAGCTTGATATTTATATTTTTATATATATATATATATATATATATACACACACACACACACACACACACACACACACACACATATATATATATATATAATATATATATATATATATATATATATTACTGGGACTTCCCAACAGGTAGGTATGTAGATAGGTAGATAGAAGGATAAATGGATGGATGGATAGAGAGATAGACAGACAGATGGATGGACAGACTGATGGACAGATAGATTAGATAGATAGATAGATAGATAGATAGATAGATAGATAGATAGAGCATTTATTAAGCACGCTCCTTGTGCTGGAGATACAAAAAACCAAGAAAAAATGATACCTACTCTGAAGGAGCTTACAATCTAATAGGAGAAGACAAGATATAAAAGAGAACTAGAAGGAGAAGATAGAATCCCTACACAGTATTGAGGCAGTTCCTAGCAGGTATTCACAAATTACTGAGTCCTCCTCAGAGTAGCATCATCCCCAGGGGACAGGTAGCTGGTGTGGAGATGGAGCAGGCCCAAGGTTACTGCACAGTAGAATGCTCTCATAAAAAAAAGCTGAGCAGAAGAAACCAACGCAGCAGTCTGATAGCATTTAGTCCCCATCTTCAGCTGCTTCTTTACAAAGAGGATGGAAGCGTCAGTCCTCTGCAATCAAAATTGGTCATTACTTGACTCTGAATTGTAATATTTTTAGTACTGTTTTCTCTATATTATTTTCATCATTGTGTACATTGTTCTTTTGGTTCTGCTTTCTTTGCTCCACATCAGTCCATACAAGTTTTCCCAAGTTTCTCCATCTTCCTAATATTCCGTTTCTTTTTCTTCTTGTAGCACATAAAGGTCTATTATATTAGACCCCTGATGTGGCAGCACCCATGTTACTTATGGAGAAAAGAATTCATTGTTAATTTACATCATTTGTCTGTTCGCTTCCTCCTACTACTTTCATCCTTAAATGCTCTTGTGATGATTTGGCTTTACATACCTCACCCAAACTTTCCGCAAGCTTACTTTTCTCTCCATAGCTTTCTGATCTTTTATGAAGTGATGCTTCTCATAATCTTTTTTTAGGTCTTCATTCTTCTCAACTTGTCTGTTGCATTTGACACTGTTGTTTAAAAAATATCAAAAATTTAAAAATCCATGATTTAGGTTTAAATCTTTCAGAAATGGTTTTATTTATGTATAGTGTTGTAATATTAATCTCTATCCAAGCCATTTCTAGGTTGGAGAGAGACATGTCTAAACTGGCCTAGTCTTCTACATTCAACAATAATGGTGTCTAAACTACACATAAGAATCCCTGTGGGCCGTATATTGACTTATACAGCCACATATGTTTCAATAATTATTTTTATTAATACACACAAATCAAATATGAACTCTGGTTCAGGCACACAGACTGGAGTGTTAGGGGGTACATGTGGCCCGCTGGGGATGTTTGACTCCTCTGCCCTACAGCCTCTCTGTCCCAAGATCATGGGGAAAGTCACTTAACCTTGGTCTGACTCAATTTCCTCATCTGTAAAATGGGGATAATAGCATCTACCTCTCAGGTTTATTGTTGAGTATTACATGAGATAATATTCGTAAAGTCCTTAATATAGTTTCAGCACTTGATAGGCACTATATTAATGTTTATTCTCATTTCTTCTAGCAAACACTTCTTTCTGGATTTTTGTGACACTGTACTCTCCTGTTTTTCCTCCTACCTGGCTAACTGCTGCTTTCCTGGTCCATTATCTACATTATGCCCCCTAACTGCCAGGGTTCCCCAAGGTCCTGTCCTGGGGCCTCTTCTTTTTTTTCCTTTTATAATTTCTCTTGGTAATCTCTTCAGGTCTGATGGGTTTAATCATCTACTCTATGCAGATGACTCACAGATCTATATATCCCCAGTCTCTTCCCTGAACTTCAGTCTTGAATCACCAATTGCCTATTAGACAAACTGGCTGTCCCAGAGACATCCGAAACTCAAGATGTCCAAAACTGAACTGATTATCTTTTCCCCTAAATCTTTCCTTTTTCTAGACTTTTCTGCTTCTGTCAAAGCCACCACCTTCCTTCTACTCTTCCAGGTTAATAACCTCAGAATTGTCCTTAATTTTTCACTTTCTCTTATCTGGAGGTGTGTTGGTTTCACAACTGAGTTCTTTGGGGGGAGGTATGTACACACTTTTAAGTTTAATCTGCATTATTAATACTTTCTTAAGTCTAGATAATAAAAAAATTAAATTAAGCCCTGATTTGTAGCAATTGCTGATATCTAAGGTGTAAATGCTCACACTAAAAATTTAACAAAGCAAGCCAATTTTTTAAAATTTTTTTAGGCAATTAAGTGATTTGCCCAGGATCACACAGCTAGTAAGTGTCATGTGTCTGAGGCCAGACTTGAACTCAGCTCCTCCTGACTCGAAGGCCAGAGCTCTATCCACTGTGCCACCTAGCTGCCCCCACCACAGAGACATTTAATAAATACTTGTTAATTAATTGATTTCCCTATCCTCCTTCATGAGATTTTTGCAAATGAGTTTATATCCTAAATTATTTTTTCCTTTGCTACCATCTCTCTCCACCTGGCATGAAAATCAAATGTTTGCTGGCTAAAGGTGGTTGTTTCTGGCCTCCTTTGGCTTTTTTGGCAGAACTGCTTTCAGCTTCTAATGGTGATAGTCTGTGTCTAGCCCTTTAAAGTGCATTGCAAACAGCAAATACTTAATGAATGCCTTTTCATTCATTCAATTATCCATTTCTTATTTTTCCATCTCAATAGCTTATTTAAATAGATGTGGTTGAGCTGCTTTTTTAGTAGCATGTTGTTTTCTTCTCATTTTCATTCTTCTAATTTGATATTTGATTTTAATTCTTGCTATAAAAAGTAGATGATCTGACTATACACAGAAAAATGATTTGGACATAGAATCTTGCATTGATGACTGGTTGTTTTCCATCCAGCATGGCATAGTGTATAGAGACCTGACTCATGAGCTAGGAAGACCTGGTCCAAGATCCAATTCTAATACATACTGGCAATCTGACCCTGGACAAGCCATTTAAATTCTCAGTATCCTAATCAATTCTTTAACACTATAAATTGCAGAGGAGGTGGAGACAAAATAGTGGATAAAAAGCAGCTACTCACCTGATCTCTCCTCAAAACCCCTCTAAACACCTTTAAATAATGCCATGAAACAATTTCTGGAGTGGCAGAACCCACAAAAGGATAGGGTGAAATAATTTTCTAGCCAAAGACAACTTAGAAGGTTGATAGGAAAGGTCTGTCTCATTAGTGTGAGAGTGGAACACAGTCCAGTGCAGGCTGCTCCAGCACAGACCAGGCCCCAGCAAACCAGAAACAGACCTTGGGAGCCATTGAATTTTCAGTGACAGTGGCTGCTTTCAGAGTTCTCAGCCCATAGATTGTGAGGGGGTAGAACAACTGATCAGAAGGGGTTTGCAGGGGTCTCTTTGCTAGCACTAAGGTGGGATTCTGTTGCTTTGCCCATAGTCAGATCTAGATCACAGTCCTGGTTGGTAGTCCCAGGGTGAGGAAGAGCACTAACTCACCAGAGCTTGTGGGCCGTAGTGGAACATGGACCCTTGTCATAGTTTCAGGGCAGAAAAGAGTGCTTGTGGTCACTCACAGATCAGAGTACAGACCAGGAGAGTAGTAAACAACTCTCTTTAGAGATCATACCACCTTGGAAGAACTGAAAACTTGTAAGTCCTTCGAAGTATCTCTGAAAACAACTGCACAAAAACCCTGAAGCTTGGGACAGTGCACCCTCCACCCTGGAGGCAGAGCCCTACTTCAACAAAGAGTTAAAAGTCAAGAAATAGACTAGAAAAAAAATGAGCAAACAATACATAAAAGATTCTGACCATAGAAAGTTACTATGATGACAAGGAAGATCAAAACACCACAAAGAAGAAGATAACAAAGTTAAAGCTCCTATATCCAAAGCCTCCAGAAAAAATATGAATTGGTCTCAGGCCATAGAAGGGCTCAAAAAAGATTTTGGAAATCAAATAACAGAGGTAGAGGAGAAATTGGGAAGAGAAATGAAAGTGTTGCAAGGAAAATAATGACAAATAAGTCAATAGCTTGGTATAGGAGAGGCACATACACACAAATACTGAAGAAAATAACACCTTAAAAAAAAAGTCTAGGCCAAATGGTAAAAGAGGCATAAAAAATTAATGAGGAGAAGAATGCATTGAAAAGCCAAATTGGCCAAATGGAAAAAGAGGCACAAAAATTCACTGAAGAAAAACAATTCCTTAAAAAATTAGAATTGGCCAACTGGAAAAGGAGGCACAGAAGCTCACCAAAGAAAATAATTCTTCAAAAATTTTAATTGAGCAAATGGAAGCTAAGGACTTCATGAGAAATCAAGAAACAATAAAAGCCAAAAATATGAAAAAATAGAAGACAATGTAAAATATCTCATCAGAAAAATAACTGACTTAGAAAATAGATCCAGGAGAGATAATCTCAAAATTATTGGACTAACTGAAAGCCATGATCAAAAAAAAGAGCCTAGATACCATCTTTCAAGAAATTATCAAGGAAAACTGATATTTTAGAAGGTTCCCAAACTAATATGACCTACTGCCCTTTTAAAAAAATTACTCAGCAGCCCCATGGAAATCTACTTTCTTTAACCCTTTAACTTTTTTTTTTTAATTTGTGTCATTTCAGAGCAGCTAGGTGGCACAGTGGATAAAGCACTGGCCCTAGAGTCAGGAGGACCTGAGTTCAAATCTGGCCTCAGATACATAACACTCACTAGCTCTGTGACTCTGGGCAAGTCACTTAACCCCAATTGCCCTCACCAAAAAAAAAAAAAGAAAAGGAAGAAATTTGTGTCATTTCAAAAAATATAATTTTTTTTTAAAAAAAATGATGCATCTGATGTTTAATAACTTATTGTAAATTTGTGGGGTGTTTTTTTTCCTGCATTGAAATTTTGGTGATGCAATATTTCATCATGTAACCATATAGTGTTGCATTGTAAATGAGTCATTACATGCACACATTCCTGCTGATGTAAACTGGGCTTCCTGACAATGTGTGACATACTCACCTGCCAACACTTGCTTGTTAAGACCTTTAGGTGGACTTGCCCACTGATTGGTTATAACTTGCATTTTGTTTGTTTATTTGGAAAATAATGTAACCACTTTACTCTAACTCTGTTACACAACAGATGAAACATGTACCAAGAGTTTTTCAAAATTTTCTTATCTTCTCTTTTTCCTTATGGTTCCACCACCCCCTTATTTTTATTCAACGCCACCCTATTGCTCCCAAGGCTACTACTGACCCCCTGGATTATTCTAGCACCCCACCCCAGGAGTGGTATCACCTACTTTTGAAATCTATAAAGAACCAGAGGGTAGAATTGAAAGAATCCACCAATCACCTCTTGAAAGAGATCCCAAAATTAAAACTCCCAGGAATGTTAGAGCCAAATTCCAAAGCTCCCAAATCAAGGACAAAATACAAGCAGCCAGAAACAGTTTAAGTATCATGGAGCTGTCACAGTTAGGATAGCACAAGATTTAGCAGCTTCTACGTTAAAGAATCAGAGAGCTTGGAATATGATATTCTGGATGGCAAAGGAGCTAAAATTATAACCAAAATCATCTACCCAGCAAAACTGAGTACAGTCCTTCAGGGGAAAAAATAGATATTCAATGAAATAGAGGACTTTTAAGAATTCTTAATGAAAAGACCAGAGCTGAATAGAAAATCTGCCTTCCAAAATATAAGACTCAAGAGAAACATAAAAAGGTAAACAGGAAAAAGAAGTCATAAGAGACTTATTAAGACTGAACTGTTTGCATTCATTCCTACATGGGAAGATGATACTTGTAACTCATAAGAACTTTCTTATTACTAGGGCAGTTAGGAGGAACATATATAGACAGAGGGCACAAGTGTGGGTTGAATATGAAGGGATGATATCTAAAAAAATAAAATTAAGGGGTAAGAAAGGGGAATATACCAGGAGAAATGGAAAGGGAAAGGTAGAATGAGGCAAATTATCTCATATAAAAGAAGCAAGGAAAAAGCTTTTACAATGGAGGGGAAGATGGGAGAGA